GCGTCGTATTTCCCCCTCATCAGTGCAATATAAAGCGATATATGAGCGTTTCTAGCCTCTTTTGTGCCATTAGGGTACATAGCTAATTTCATCTTATACCCTTGAGGTCCCACGTAAAACGCATCGCTTTCAACTCGAACGTCCTTGTCCCTTTTGGCTTTGCTGACTCGTTCCCAGAAGTCGGACACTTTCCATACATAGGGTGCAAACGTTTCCATTTGCTTATGTTTCATTTTCATTTCAGTTACGTCCTTCTCAAGACCAGCGACTCTGAAGCTCACTGTGCGGTAATCAAACTTCATTTGTTCCAATTCCCGCCTCAGGATTTTAGTCTCGTCTTGCATCTCACCAAGTTTTTCTACAGAGAGCTCAAAATGCCGTCGTAGGTTTTGTTCCAGATGATCGTTTACTTCAGAGCGTTTAATCTGAAAGGAGAATTTAAATCCAGAATAAATCTAGTGACCGTAAGAGCTCTTCAGAACGTCAGTTCGAAATGCCAATTTTATACCCTGTGTTATAGTCTGTGTTGAAGCTGCCCTCCCCGAAAGAGAGGACGATGGAAAACGAAACATTTTCTGGGGATCGTCTTGCTATCCATCATTTAGATCATAGTTTTAAATAATTCCCAAATGAAACTTCACGAGCGATTGGATCTCTAGGATCCTGTGCACTTACTGAGAATGATCGGCTTACTTTTGTCAGAACTGTTAGCTCTAGTTGTCGTTACGTTACCTTGATGTCGCAACCCAGATAATCATACTGGCAGTTCACAACCGTGTGAGTACAAACCACGTCCTGATGAGCCGTCATCTAAAAAAGACAATCACTTCAAATAATTATAATCTTTAGTCTTTTGNTCATTTAGATCATAGTTTTAAATAATTCCCAAATGAAACTTCACGAGCGATTGGATCTCTAGGATCCTGTACACTTACTGAGAATGATCAGCTTATTTTTGTCAGAACTGTTAGCTGTAGTTATCATTACGTTACCTTAATGTCGCAACCCAGATAATCGTACTGGCAGTTCACAACCGTGTGAGTACAAACCACGTCCTGATGAGCTGTCATCTAAAAAAGACAATCACTTCAAATAATTATAATCTTTAGTCTTTTGTACTTCCGATTATAAACTCAGTTTCAGTTTGACAGTTTCATGTTGTTGGTATGGGAGTGGAACTTGGTTTGGACGAGTCATGCAATTAAATTCTAGGCTTTTTCTTCTACCCCTGTTGCTAAGTAGCAGGCAACAGACTGCTTGCTCTATACTGTGAATAAAAAAAAAAGTTGAAAATCCTGCAGATTCCTTGAGGAACAGAAAGTTGGAATCAAACATTGAACACCCACTGTACTTTATTTCCTTGACATCTGGGGCAAACGTGAGTAGCGAGTCTTTTGAACTGAATGCACTGGAAACTAATTTTGCTACTTAGCTTAGTCGTTACCTCCTCTCTAGCAATGACCTCACCACACCCATTTGAGCATTCAGTGGGTTGTCTTCGACACTCCGACGCGTGTTTCTGTTGACAAAGGTAATTTGCATTTGATGTGAAATTTATATGAAATTATATGATCATTCTTCACTTTCGTAATTTGCATTTGTTCAACAGTGTTACTGTAGAGCCGGTTAACAATACAGCGCAATTTTAATTGCTTCAAACAGAGACAAAACATACATGGAGTACAGGGTAAGCAGGTGCCAAAATTTGCATATCGTATGAGCCTGGAGCTAAGCTAAATGAACTGTGAAGCTATCCGTGTGAGGCTTTCGCGTAACAAATGTTTATGCACTTTTTCGCAGCTATCCTTACAAGCTGGTATAAAAGATTTGAGACAGCAGAAAGCTACGCGTTTTACGCATGATCAACACGTCATTGTGTCAAACAAGCAAATATCAAGGTAAGTGCCTTTATCTCCTCTTGTGTCAAGTCATTAGAATGATAAATTTTAGCCTGCGAGCAGGCTAACCTTTGAGTCACGCGAAGTCACGCGAAGCGATCCGGTGGGGTGGAGTCACTATTTCGTCTCAATTCCGCGCGTGCTCCATCGTGAGGCAAGATAAATTATTGCAATAAAAGATGCCTTCTTAGACTGACGTAGCGATGATGTCTGGAGCATTATTCAGTTACCATCAAGTTCTCCGGCAAATATTTGCGCAATCTTTTTTACTTATTTTTACAACAGACATGAGCCATTTACCTCTTCGTCGCATTTGGCATGCTCCTCATGACAATACAAACAATGCACTGTCCTCCACTGACAGGTGTTTCTCGCGTGATCATCCACTAGTCTTCTTTCCATGGTAATGTGACAGTGAGGATTGCAACATTGAATTATTTTGCAGCCACAGCTCTGCAGATGGGTCTGTTGGATTAGGATCAAGAAAAGTGCAAGTCTGTTTTGGAATTCAAGCATTGTTCAATCAATCAATCAA